GCTATCACTGCTGGAGGACTGAGACAGACAGAGGGTTAGCAGCAACATCACAGCTCTGTCCACCACCAGACACCTCAGGTGAGCAAACCACCTTTACAGTCAGCCCCTCCCTTCCAGATTTGCAGGCTCAGGTCCAGCCTGATGGACTAACATCAATCCACCAAGTGCCTCCATGGCACCTGCAGCTCCCGTTACTGCCAGCACACGGGAAGGGATGAGCAGGCCAAGTCTTCCCTGGAGGTTCATTGACCTCCAGGACACTGAATTTCAACCTTTCCCTTTTAGACCCACCAGCTCTGCCCCCATGACCCACATTAGCACTAGTGAAGTTTGCTGAATTCATCCGAGAATTGGAAAATAAAGAACATTGCTGCTGCAGTGCACGTGTCAGTAAAGGCAGGCGGGGCAGGAGGAGCTTCTGGCTGCTGCTCTAGCAGTGAGAAGGAAGCACCATGCAAAGCTTCTCCTACAGGTCAATCTTTCTAAAATGAGCTCTGAAGCATCCAAAGCAACATGCTGTTAAAAACAAAAGCAACTCGATGCCCATTTTAAGTCTTTGAACACCTTGACACACCTACAACTCCTCTGCTCCCAGTGAAGTCCTGGGACAGCCACGTGAACTGGGAGCTTTCCGTAACAACTTCCTTGCCACCACAGGCACTGGAGGCTTCCACATGCAGGAAAGAGAACTCCTGATTCAGCTCACAGAGAGGCCAGGGCTCATTTGCCAGCATTTAGGATAAACACATTTCATGGCAATGACTGGAAGAGCATTAGCCATCATTTTCAGGGTTTCAAAGACATAAAACTGTTCAGCTTACACCATTTTAAGGGCTGCTAATAAAAAGTTCCATTTGTTACAGCTGAAATATTTCATTACTGTGTGATCTGCTATTCAGGACAACACTGCAAACATTTAGGTGCTTAAGAGTCAGAGATGTGCTGCCTGGCCACCCCATAAGAAGTAGTCACAAACACAGCCAGTGTTAAGTGACAGCAGCTAAAAAAACCCACGCCCACAGTTTTTGTAAGTATTAAACTAAAACCACAGAAGTCAAAGCTTGGTGGCCACAGCAGAGGAAAACACATTTAAAGCAGCCCACAGATATTTTAACAGCCAGTACCACTTCCAGAAGGCCTCACTTCGGAGTCAACCTGAAGAATGGTGCAAACTGCACACAACACATTTGTTCCAAGCAGTGAGAAAAGGGCCAGGAAGTCGCTGCAGGAGTATCTGAGGTGGAACACATCTCAGTGCTGACTGGAAAGCCCCCCAGGCACTGATTACACAATTGATTGTGACAATTCAACCATGGAAAATTCCTTGTTTTGCCAAGCACCAAAAAAAATGCTTCAGTTCTGTTGTAGTAGAGCAAGCAAGGCAGCAGCAGGGCAGCTGCATTGGGGTGAGGATCAGCCAGCGAGGAGGGAACACCAGGACACAGAGGGAGACATTCCTGAGGGAAGCAGCAGAGGTGACTACCTGAGCAACCCCCCCTCTGCCTCAGGCTGCCAGTGCTGGAGAGGGACAGAAGGACAGAGAGGAGCCAGGGCCTGGTGCTGGCTGAGCCCCTCTCACTCGGCACAGAAGCACAGAGATTAAATGCAAATGCTGTTCAACAGGTCACAGCAGCCTTGGAGAGAAACCCACCGCACAGGACACTTTGTTTCCTTTTACTCTGTGCTCCTTACTGTGTTTCGTTACCGCCACTTTCTGAAAATCAAGGTAAAAAAATCGACATGAGAACCCAGGGCGACTCACTGCTCGAGTTTCACAAACCAACAAACATTTTAGAGCTGTTAGTATTGATTATTTTATGCATGGCTAACTTTTTAAAGAACAAGAGAAGTGTCCTGGGACGTGCTTCCTGCACCTAAGGCTGTTGCCAGGTCTGGCTGGTCAGACCCTCTTTATTTCCATTTCTCTAATGCAAAAATTCACTAGCACATGAAGCCCCTTTATTGCCCAAATCCCACCAAAGACCTACCATGTCCCCAGGCTGTGGTGCACATTCTGTTAGGCATTTGGACTACAATTAGACAAGAAAAGAATCCTTAAAGTCATCAAGTCAGCAGTGACAGGCATCCACACAACGAAACAAAGCGTTAAGTGAAAGGGCAAAGGAAAGCAGCCCAGTGAAATTTTAGGAGTGCTTTTAAGAATCAAAAAGGCATCTTCATGGTTTACCTGACTCATTAGCTCCTCTTAACATCACCCTGAGAAGGTTTAAGTAATTTCCAAATAAATGACCCATGAAATGTGTAATTCTGCTGGTCTGTGAAATAGCATCTCACTCGCCCACATTAGGAATTTAAGAAACAGCCACTCAGACCCTGCTGCTGCTCTCAATGTCTTTCAAGACGAGTTTTAACAGAGCTGTAATCTGGTTTTGATGTAGAATTTAAGACCAGCCCTTCCCCGTGTAATAGTGTAGAGTGGCTGAGCTGGGAGGCAAAACAAAACTTGGATTTGGGAGCAGCAGCTGCTGCCTTGCACCAGCAACCACTGCTCATAACAAAGAGGCACTTCTGAGCTCTGGGGAATCCCTGTCCTGGAGCACAAGAACAAAGAGGAACCACAAGAAATGAGGTCTTAAGGAAGAAACTTCCTCAGGAAGGAAAAGAGCTTCTCAGAGCACTGCAGACTCCCTTCCTCCTCGTGGAAAAACAGAGCAAAGGGCTTTTCATGGTGACTCCCCAGGCTGCAGAGCACAACGGCAGGTTCTTCTGATGCACCACAACTCTGCCCACCTTCACACACAGGAGAGGAGGGCAGGAAAGGCTTTTCCTGAAGGGGTAAGTGATTATCAGGGAAAACAACAATGTAAACAACAATGTAAAAGGGAGGGCAGGCTGGACAGGAAGGGAAATGCAGGGAGAAATGCTTTGCTAATGTTTAACGTTGGGTCCAGTCCAGCCCTTTGGTCATGTGCCTGTTCACAGGCAGAACTGCAAACAGAAGGGGACTGTCACCCTCAGAGTGGCTGTCACCTAGAGCTCCTCCTGCTTTGTTCCAGGAGGAGCAGGAATTGCAGATTATCACAGCAGTTTGCCAAGGAGCAGTGCTGGAAAAGACTGGAGAGAACCTCAGTTTCCCTCCTCTGAAAGTCAGAGCCAAGGATGCTGCCTGTCTGAGATGAAAGGCCAGTCCAGTGGGATAAAAAAAATCAACATCCTTTTCCATCACATCATGTGAGCAGGAGTGAGGGAAAATCTCACAGAATAGTCCATGTTTGACCTGCCTCTGGGAAAGAAATACATCTCCCTTCAGCTGACACATATTGCTGTCAGCTGGGAAGAGTGAGACCAAAAAAAGAAAAATAAAAGAGATAGTGGCAAAAGTCAAGTTCAGGTTTAGTAACAGCCTGATTTTCACACCGAGCTCCCAGCTAAACCACAATGTAAGAGAAAACAGTTCACTTTTAACTGAAGGAAGGCAAAAGGAATCAGTGCCTTCGCTAACGTTTCACCAAAAGGTGGATGTGTGTTCTGAGATGAAAAGCAACTCTCTCCTCATGTCCTCTTTGAAGCTGCAAACTGCTCCCCCCCCAACCACACACCTCTCCTCCTTCAATC